CCATCTGTTATTGTACATCTTCTAGCTGTTTCCTTCTGTTTTCTTGGTGTCTTTCATAATTCCTTGTCTTTCCCCTTTCTTTCACTGGACCTTGTTCCTTTTATAATTTCTAAGAATCCAGCAATCATTCCAGCAATGATTCCCCCTCTCATCTGTCACAACCTACTTGTGCTGCCAGTTTTTTGGCAGCTATTCTGCCTCCAGTTTAAAAAAAAAAAACACACTATATTACTGCATTATAGTTACTTCTCAGTCAGCTTAATATAACCAGTTAATATTTTCATCAAACTAAATAAGCATTTACTTAGCTTATTTTTAGGAAAAAGAAATTACAGGGCATGTGCCTCTTACTTGCCTTGGTTATCAGGGCATGAAGCCTTGGGGTCAGACTATACTTTCATAACAGTACACCAATTCTTTGAAGTGCATCTTCTGGAGTAACTTACTGTGTATCACAGAATAATTTGGGTTGGAAGGTCACTTTTAAAACTCATCTAGTCCTACCCCCCTGCAATCCTCAGGACCTTCTTCAACTCAGCTGGGTTGTTCGAAGTCCCATTCAATCTCACCTTGAGTATTTCCAGGGATGAGACACCTACCACCTCTCTGGACAACCTGTTCCAGTGTTCCACCATGCTCATAGTAAAAAATTTCTTTCTTATACCTAGTCAGAATCGACACTATTTTAGATTAAAACTATTACTCCTTATCCTATTGCTAGGCCCTACTAAAAAGCGTACATCTTACATCTCTCTTGTAAGTCCACTTTAAATACTAAAAGGGCACAATAGGGTCTCCCTAGAGCCTTCTCCAGGCTGAAAAACTCTGTCTCAGCCTTTCCTCACAAGAGGTGCTCAAACCCTCTGACCTCCTTGTGGGCCTCATCTGGATTTGCTCCAACAAGTCCATGTCCTTCCTATGCTGGAGGTCCCAGGTACTCTAGCCGGGGTCTCACCAGAGCAGAGGAGAGGGGAGAGTCACTCCAACAAGATCATGCTGCAGTCAAGACAGCAAGTTGAATTAAAAATCCTGAGATATGTCTTCCAGCCAGATCACAACAGGCAAGCTAATAATGCAGATAAACAGACCAAAATGCCTGTAGGAAGTTTCACCTGTCAATAGAACTATGCCCCTAAGAACTCCTCAAGTGAAACACAGCTGGCTTCTATGAGTAAAACCATAAAAGGTACCTCCAACAAAGGCATGTTGTTGAAAAAAGGGCAGTGAAATTTTGTGAATAAACCTGAAAATGAGTTGCCTCCAAGGCTCCCTGAGATAATATCAGAAAGGTAATGTCACACCTCCTCTAGCTGTCCCTGCTGAAGAATAGTGTGTAACAACTACACACAATGTAGTTCATGGATTTACACCTCCTACTGAGGTACAGTTTCAATGCAGGGAGACAAGAATGTTCTCTCTGATGTCACAGAGTGAAGCTGACTGAGCATTTAACAGCTGGAACACAGTGATCATATTTCTTGTCAGTTTTTTAAATAAAAAAAACAAAGTTCCTGGATTAAAAAAGTATCAATTAGTTGTTTCACTCATAGGTGTCAGCATTCAGTTTATCCTCTAGAGTACCTCACTGATGCGAGTTTTCTAAGGTGTTACTTGCATACCATGACAGTAACTAGCCTGCCAGGAGGTGGTGCAATACACAGGATGAGCTGTGTGATGACTGTCTGCCAGGAGTGCACATGATGGCAATCTAACTTTTATCATTCCACTAATGAGGAACCAACTTTCTTGCTGGCATGGACTCGAGTCCCTGGGATGAAAATACTGATTAGCACCTCCACTGGCCCAACTCAGACCCCTGTGTAGTTCAAGAACTACCAAAAAGCAGCAGTATGCCTCACATTTAATAGATGTAAGCAGGCTTGCTGTGGTTGAATTACACAGTACTTCATCACAGACTGAAGGGCAAGTTACATCTTCCCTTTGGTAAGCTGTTTTTCATTTTAATTAATAATTTATTTAAAAGCCTGCTCTTCTCCCTTAAACACAACACAGGATTCCTTGAATGGGTAGCACAGCCATTTAGCTGAAGTCTATCAGCATTTCAAGTACATCACTAAGTCATCAGAGCACAATCTCCACAGAGGGTTTGACAATCACAAGAAATGCACTGCTCAGAAATTTACTGAGCAGTTTGGTGAATACATTCTTCCAGGGAATCCCAGCACATCTGCTCGGGTACACACGTTCACTTTAGAATAAAACTGGCTTTACAGTATTTCCTCCTTTCTGTAGTTTACTGTGATACCTCCTTGTCAGATTAGCTGTCCATTTCCATTTGAGATTTCACCGAAATTGTGGGCAGGACTGACAGGCACCTCCCCTCTTTTGTTTCACTGCAGTTCAGTGTCATTCATTTAAGCCAATATGAAAAGACAAGCACTCCTAAACAAATGAAAACAAATGTTTTATTTACAGGAAAAAATCTGTACACTGTGTATACATAAAAATATACAAAATCATAATAGAAAATATAAAAAGTGTTAAAATGTATACAAACACTGCTTAAAAATGTGACTCCTGTAAAATCTTAAGGTTTGTTGTTAGAGTACACATTCATTTAAAAAAATCATCATACAAAATAATTCTCAAAGCTATTAAAAAAGTACACAGTCTATATTCGAATAGTTCAATGACTACATATTTTAAGAGTGATGAGATGATATGAAAAAAAGTAAGGCTTTTACACACAACTCTTATTTCAAGAACAAAATTCTGAATCTGATTGCTAAGCCAGAGAGAAGACATCAGCACTGTCAAAATTCATTAAGTGATTCGCGTACCCCTGACATGGGCTACTTTAAATTTCAAACAGTTAAATCAGGTATCCTCCTCGTGTGTGAGAGGATAGATGCTGGGAAAGATTCAAATCATTTTAACAGCAGGCTTCTGAATTACCTACTTCAAAGCAGGATTTCATTTAAATATGCATCAACTTTAGAAAGCATGAAGGGAAAAACAGTAACCATTTATTGTTGCAGTCAATGCATTTAATACTCCTTTCATAGTACATCTGTGTCACTGTCCAAATGGCATTTTTCATCCTTAAAAACCTCTGAAGAAAAAATAAATTAAAAACCCTGCTAGGGATTTCTCCACATGTGTTTTGAACTCCTGTTTAATTCAATCAGTCTCTAAAATGACTGTGTTCAGTCTGTGCAATGAGTGAGTGTAGACACTTGTCTTCATTTTTTAAAAAAAACAACTCTTTTGGTTTTTCTGACTTTGGCAAGAGATCTACAACAACTAGTTCAGAATTCAGATATCTTCACCAAAGAAGGTGTCCTGACCAAAGACAAGCAACGCTTAAATTAAATTTATACAGAGAGAGTGTACATTAGAGTGTTTTTATCACCCCTCTCTCTCTCTCCAAAAGTACATCATGGTAACTTCACTGAATTTACCAGAGTTTCTACAGCACAAAACAACTGCACAACAAGGTAAAAAAAAAGATGTAGTAGTTTAATCCAAGGAAGGACTGAGCTATGAGTTTATGCTGAGGTAACCTTTAGAACTATAGTGGAATGGAACAAAATAATGGGTTTTTTCTAGTAAAAAGATTTTGGCTCAAATTAAGGCAAAATATTTTGCAATTTCTTCTTGATTAAACAAAAGAATACCTTGATTTAACCATCCAAAACTGAATGCATAAAATGATAGAGCACCTCAAGTCAGAAAAGTTACAGAATTCACAGTGGGGAAAGAAGAGCATAATTAAATTCAGCATAAACTCAGCGCATTTCCTTAAGCTGCTGCTGTGGTTCTGGTTTGTTTCAGTTAACTTTAACTGTTGTCCACAGCACCAGGGCACAGAAATTTGGCTCAATAGTGTTTGAAGGCAACTTGTTCCTACTTGTCAGTAAAACTCCGTAAATTTAAAGCCTACAAGTGCAATGGGAGCTCAGGGGCCCAACAGCAGAGGTAATTGCTTGGCTGATGATGCATCTCGAGATGCACCAGGTTTGTGCAAACCTCTCTTGTCTAGGTGCTGTCCCTCTCTGTTAGTGTGTGACAGCCACATGGGAGAGCTACAATGCCATGCCTGGATCTCTTCCCCAAAAAGTCCCATGATCTTGGTGAAAAAATAGACTTCCTTTCACATTGCTGCATTTAACGTGCATCTAGAACCGGCACTCTCACCCCTTATTTTTAGAAGAGCTGTGTTCAGTGTTATTACACACTGACTGTTTTAAATTTATTAAATGTGGTTCTTTGCAAACATTTCTCTGCTCTCACAAGGGATGGGCAAATGCCCATTAATTCAAAAGCACTTGGAGGGCTCTTATAAAAGCCAGCAATGCTAATGCCACAGAGAGTAGGAAGTGGTAAGAGGAGAACCTCTGCAGGTCCTTTATGTTTCCCCTTTATTTCTGCCCCTTCCCCCCTTGAAGCAAGTGAGGGGAGCCCTCAATTAGCAGATCAAACACACTTGCACTTGCCAAAAGCTGAAGGAGGACAAGACAAGGTAAGAGAGAAAATGTTCCTTAAGCAACGACAATGTGTTTGAGCAGGCAGACCAGTAAAACATCACAGTGGAAACCAGTGTTAGAAAGCCATTCCAGGCTCATTTTTTAAAGGTGGTCTTCCTCCTCTGTGAGCAAATGTTTGCAGCAGAGCTCTGCAGCATCGTCTGAGGTGATGGTGCTACAACAACTGCATTTGCACCTGTGGAAGGAGGACTGACTGCCATATAAAGAAGGATTTGGCAAAGAAAAAATTTTGGCTGCAAGGGCTTGAGTATGAAGTCCAGTAAATTAAAAATATACAGTTCATTATATAACATCTCCAACCTGGTCCTGCATTGGTACGTAAATGATGTACTAAGTAGGTAGGCTTAGCACTTATTACATGAAACTTTATAATTTGCCTTGTTCTGTACAATAAACAGCTATGTTGAATATTTTGACAAATTATTCAGAGATTAAATAATACTACATAATCATGTTGTGGGTGGTTGAGCAATGCAGTTATTATTTTTCTTCTTTGTGAAAATCAAAGTTAAAAGTTAGTGGTTGCAGGCCAGGCCAGTCAAAGTTGGTTTGTTTTTTGGTTTTTTTTTTCCCTTTTTGGAACTCTAGAAGTTCCTGCTTCTTGAAAAGTAACACATTTGCTAGTCTTAGGAAGCTAAACTCTGTTCCTTTACAGTTATGTCATAGCTAACCCAGGGTACAGCAGAGAGAGACATATTTGATTGCACTGTTTAGACTGCTTATGTTTGCAAACAGGGTACCAAACATATGGAAAAATAGATAAGTGCTGTGTAGGCTATCTATCCTCCATGCATTTAAATAGCAATGTTATTAACTTCAAGAATAAAGTTGCCACCACACATAACATTAAAAAGAAATTGGTATGTACTATATCCAGAGTCCAAGGCTAGTATGAATAAAACCTATTAATTTTGATATGTACCAAAATGCCTTATGGACATAATTATCCATACAACACAGAAGTAGAGTTATTAGATCATCTACACATAATTTCTGTCAACAAGATCATCACAAAGCCCAAAAAGAAGGCTATGTCCTATGTAAGACATGTATTCTTCATTTTGAGGAAGGAAAATAATCCTTCCAAAAGATTCTTCCAATACTGCTTCCCAAAGAGCTGAGTGAGAGAAAAAGGATTTTATGATTATACTTAACATTACAATTGCAGGTGAAGTAGTCATTAATATTGTTTTCTTTTTTTTTTTGCCTTTCTGGCAAAAGGCTTTTTGCTTAAGTCAAAACACAAAAAATACTTTCCACCACAACCATTCAGCTATTCTTTTCAATGCCCCTTTGAGCTGTCTGCTTTTTTACTGGATGGACATGAGTAGGATATAGCTGTGCTTCTGTGCACACATATTCCTGCTGAACTTACTCTAAAAGAAATTGTACAGTCAGGTGGCAAAAAACCAAACCAAACCACTGAGAAAACCACTCCAGACCATTAACTTTTAGAATTGCCTTAAAGAATATTGTTCTTGTGTGTTATGAATGAAAATATCAAACCACCTCCACATGCAATCCGTAGTAAATTTTTTTTTGCAGGCATTACAGCTTTTCTGGGTTATAGTCTTTCAAACATTAAGTAAAAAATGTCGATAACATCTTCTTTTGTCAGAAAACATCTCCTTTCCGAAGAGCAAGAACTTGTGAACGAGTGACTTTGATTCAGATACCTATGAAATACCTAACAAATATAATGTCTGTATTCCTGAATGTTATCTTTGTTGACAAGAGGTGAGGCCCCTGTATGCTTGCTTTCAGTGTGATGGGTGAATGCTGCACAGCCTGCCTTGGCTTTCTCTGGATCTTTTGTGTCTGTGCAGTCTGGAGGAAGGCAGCATTTCCATCTCACACCTTCCTGATAGTCAGGGAGATAAGACAGAGAGAGCTTTTCTTCCTAATTGGGAAGAATTACAAATATGTTGTTTTTTTTTCTCTAAAAAAATGTGACATTTCTCTCTTCCCTCTTCAGTCAGTGTGAGCATGGGAGACTGGCATCCAAAAATACATCCAGTAGTTTAACTGGTTTAGCTGTGCACAGCCATCTCCAGCTGCACGCACTTCAGGGCCACCCTAAGTCCCTGTTCAGCTGGAAGCCTGGAACTGAGCCTGTGTAGGAACAGGCATTAAAGCCTGCTCTAGTGAATGACTGCACAGCTTGGAGTAGCAATTACTTCATTCTGGGAGAGTGTGAAAATCCCATGGAGCCACGGGAAATGCTGCATTGTTCAACTGGCCGCTCTGTATATACATGAACAATAGAGGCTGTTTGACAATGCTAGGATTGACAATTAAATAAATTCATTTAAAAAAAAAAAAAAAAAATTACAGTCTAGCAAATGTGGCATGAGACCACCGACAAATTCTGACAGCCACACCAACAACAATACATTATATTTCTGCCTAAGTATGTCCTTTGCACCTTCATGAGCTAAGCCTTTGCTTTTATTCTGTAACTATTTGCAAAGCAGTAATAAATACTCAGGGCTCAGAAAAAGAAGTACTTCTCATGCCTGCTACTTAATTACAATTTATAGACTCAAGACTAGATTGGTCTAAGATATATTTTTTTCAAGTATTCTCTTCTTGTTTATAGTACGACAGTAGTACCTTATTGCACATTGTTTCTGAAAGACTTACTTCTACAAGTGTGGGAAATTATTTCGTTTGGGGCACTTGACAGCTTTGAACCCTGGCAAAATGACTTTCCCCTTCCGATACAGATCATCCTGCAAACCTTTGTTCATCCTCTGCACCAGGAGCTTCTCGTAGAGCAGTGGATGGTAGGCCCCTAAGGTGCAAGCTGCATCGTAGTAGAGTTCATGGTAGTGACACAGGTCGGTCTGTCGCACTGAAGGGATGTACTCGTACACGTGCACTTCGTTACACATGGACATCATGATGAGGATACCTGCAACAAGACGTGAAAACAAAAGTGAGCACCACCTTTCACTTTTCTCGCAGAAATTTCCCTGCAGTGATCCAATCTATTTTTCCTTTCCTTCTTTTCTTTGCTGTCACACACCTTAAGAAATCTGTAAAATCATCAAGTGAAGCAATCGTTCCTTTTATTTGAGCAGCTTTCACTTGTCCCTGATACATAAAGATTGTGATCCCTGTAGAATCAACAGGCTAGGATAACAGTCATAGAGAAAGAGTGAAAAGCCCGTAAAGAACTTGCGTATCACCACCAGACTCCTGAGTGAGATGACTGCTCTTTCCCACCTCCCCCCATTTACTCTTTGGACTGTCCACAAAACATTCCCCCCAAGAATCATTGAAACATCTCTGCCTTATTGCAATGTTGGTCTTTCTTAGTCTGAATTTGAACCAGTTCCACTTTTCCCATCCACTTGCTTCTCTCTAAGCAGAAAGACTTGGCCAAGCACATGCAGAAGGACATATAAAGAAGCATCACCCATGTAGGGGTGGCACAGAAGCCCACAGCTTCAGACAAATCTCTGAAGAGTCTCATGGACAGACACCAGAGACAAATTCCTACTTAAAGCAGTGCTGTCATAAGGAAAAGTCCCTTACCACTTCCTTGCTCAGCAAGGAGAAATCCAAACAATGCCAACCCATTTTTTTCTGCTACGTGCCAATGGCACATTATCATCAGCACCATCAACTGCAATCTTTATAGCCTTGAAACAGGAGAAATATTGCTGCTGCAGCTGCACATTTTCAGATGGACTAATACCAGATAATGATCAACAACATTGCTTAAACTACGATACTTTCACATCAATCACAGCTCCTGGAAGCCTTTTCTGTTTCACAAAGCCATGCAAAAGGAAAGTGACATGAAGTAAGCTTTGGATGCCATTTATTTTTTTTAAGATTCCACTTAAAAAATAAATTTGTGTAGGAAATGTATCGAGGCATTTGTAGCACTAGTGGAATCCCTATCTGATCAATGACTCAAGTGAGCAGCTGTATAACTGCTCACTTGACACTTACAATGAGAACTGATGTAACTGTTGTTTGGGATTTTTTCTGCACAACAGCTTTGGCATCATCAAAGGTGTTTTGGGTAGATCTCAGAAGTGAAATGAACTAACATAAAAAAATTATTTTGGTTTCCTAATTAAGCAAAGTAATTTTCTGAAGTTTAGTTTACAGTTTGGGTACGCAGGGATTTCAATGGCTTGCTAATGAAAAGAACTCTATGTTCTTCCTGCTGTGTATCATTAGATTATCCTGTGTATCATTAGATTATCAAAATGACTTTTCCCTGCCTGATGTGTGAAGTAACTGAAAACCAATTACTTCTGTGATTAAATCTTTTATCATAAATTAAAGGTTCTGAAAATGTTTTGTAATTGTTCGACAGCTTTACACTCTACTGAATTTATAGTCTTAGAAAAGCTAAGCATATAAAAAAATTCTGAAGTTCTAAATTTGAGTGAACTTTAGTCTTAAGCAGCAAGAAACACATATTCATGGTAAAAAAATATTTAATCCCTATTTGAAAAATACAGTACAATCTCAATAAACCAAGTTTCCTTGCCTTTAAGATGTTACAGAGATGCTTTGAATTTTAACCTGTCAAGCAGCTATATCTAGAATTGGGTTTTTTTTTGTTGTTGTTTGTTTTAGTTTTACAAATGCTTTCGTCAGCTTTTCCACTGCCAACCTCCTTCCTCCACTGATGGAGAGCCCACCTGCCATTCCAAGGTAACTGTTATCCAGCTGGATCAGAGGGTGGACGGTGGAAACGTGTGCAATAACGAACCACATCCAGAAACAGACACTAAAATTACTTCTCTCCTGCACCCAGAGCCAATTAAAAAAGCTACACCACCATCATCTTAGGAAAACCGTCTCTGATGGAAAGTACAAGCCTTAACCAAAGTGTGTTTTATTTCAATGCCACATTACCAAGCTAACTCTAAAAGTAATAAAGGAAGTTGCCCTTTGTGGGATTGGAAAACTGTCAAGAACAAAAATTGTGACTCCTTAGTAACAGAAAAATAGCTACTTAACTCCAGGTATGGTTCAACCATGACAAAATTTTAAGCAGTATCATTGACTTTCCTGTAAAATAGTTAATGGAGGACTTAGAAGTGGTAAGAAGCCATCTGTTTTTTTTTTTTTTTTTCACAAATACAGTCCTCTCTAAAATAGAGAAGTGGTTTCATTTCTGTCTCATGCCTTGGAGTATGTGAAACCCCTCCACAGGGATCAGCCCTAGTGCTGTAGAGCCATTACTGCAAACTCAGTTTACAAAAAATGTTATTGAGCATCTTTAAAAGAATAGCAGTAGTTTAAACCACTAGGGCATTTACATCAGCCCATGTACGAAGATATATTCAGTTTCTTTTCTATTTGTTTTCTAATGCCATGTGTCTAGATTGTTTTTCCCAAGTCCTTAAACAGGGCTGCCAACAGAGCTTCCTGGACTACAGGTCTCACATTTCATCTCATGTTTTTTCATACCAGTCTTTAACTCAGTTCCTCTCTTTGCTTGGTTTTAACAACATTGCAGGGAGTTACTGACATCTGTATCCAGCAGATCTAAGTGTGCCAAGCTGTCTATATTTTCATCTACCTTACAACTTAATTTTCCCATCTTCCCTTCTCTCCTCCTCTTAGCTTCTGTGGTATTATAAATTTTTTAAATCACCAATTGGTTTTTGCCACTTACATGACCCCCAAAATATTTTTTAACTTACATTTATACTTTTATATTTTGGATGCAGCCTCAAAGCTAAAGAAGAGGTATGTGCCTGACTGCTTTCAGACTTGGTTCCATTAACTAATTTTGCTTGCCTGTCTATTCTGAGAAGTCCCATGTTGCTTCCCATTTCTTATCTTTACATATTTGTTTCTGTGTTATTGCTTCCTAAGTTTCTCTTCTGTGGCTGAATTTTGTGGCATTTTCTCCCACACCTATAGTGTCCAAATCTGCTTTGTTTATGTCCTATCCCTGTACTGCCCTCTGAGTACGGCTTATACACTGATTTCTTTTGTCTCTCTACTTTTCACATCACCACCCAATTCAACATCATCTGCATCAACTTTTTCCATATCTCAACACTTCTCCAGGATTATCAGTATGAATGAAAACCTCATTGTTTGATAGGCTGTAGGGTGAAGAATTTCCATATGATACACTTCTCTATTTGTCTTTGCTAACAGTCGTTACAACAATTTTCAGTCAATGCACAATTAATTATTATATATATAAAACAGCACAGACTGTCTTACATGTGACCTAAAGAGCTATTAATAAACAGGATGAGACAGTCATTGTCCCAACACAATACAGAGTCTGGACAGAATTAATCTTATTGAGATGCTCATGCCCATCTCTGACCTTGCTGGTTTAAAGCATTCTTTACAGACAATGCAGGAGACAGGTATTTCTAGGGCAAAATTCATCTGACATATTTTAGATGTCTCCTTTAGGATTAGTGTTGAATTGTTCACTTACAGAGAACTTTCCTTTTAGTATTTTTTCTCTCCACTGACTAGACAGAAACCAAAAATAAGAGTCTGGCACTTGCCTATCAAGAACCTCCTCTACTCTCCCACATAAGTAGCATTTGGAGTTTCATGAAAAATAATATAATTGGCTTTTCCAGAAGCACAGTGAGAAGCAATAAAAACAAGGCACGATCAAATGTGCCCCTGGTGCAGTTACCCACACCTGGGATAGTTATCACAGACTCCTTTGCTGTCAGCAGAAGGAAGTGGGCACTTTTAGGAAGGAGTGCACTTCTAATGGATCATACAAACCATTCCCCAGAAGCTCCTGGTTTTTTCTGTTGGCTGCAGGTGAAGCCTGAGTAGCAGCACGGATAGCTGCACTCCCAGTATGGGATGAAAATAGGCGAGGGCGATATGAGGCTCACAGTAATACTTAAGAGGTACCTATTTTTTTGCTCTAATAATTCTGAGTGTGACTGACACAAAGACAGACCTGCACTGAGAATAGCTGAAGTTAGGACACACAAATCCTACTCTCTGACTGACCCAGACACGGGGCCATACAGATATGGTAAATTTATGTGCAAGGATTAAGCTGAAGGGAGATGTGGGTTTTTTTCCCCAGCATTCCTGTACCTTAGTACATCCCTGTACTAAGGTACAGGAATGTGAGTAAAAGCAGCGAATTACAAAGTATTCAGGCAAGGTCAGCAGACATACACAACTTGAGAAAACATAAAACCTGAAAGGCCAAGCCTATAGGCTGTTTATAGCATCTAAATATCAGAAAGCTTTTAAGATCTTAAATATCCAATCCATATTTCATATTAAAGAAAAGGTCAGGGTATCCAGCCTGATTTTAGCTTTCACAAACACAACTGGTGCAACCACACGTTCAAAATCTCAACTGAAAATAATTCTGCATAGGCACTCCAATCAAATTCTAATACTCTTACTGGATTTTTGAAAGTCCCATTTGGATTGCAATTGTAAAAATGGAAAAATGCAAAATAATTCTTCCTGTACTGTGGTAGAACATTCAGAAGTGTGCTTTATGAATGTTTTATAATTAAATGGCAATATTCATGAACACCCAACTGGACATTAAAAAAAACAAATGGAAAAAAAAAAAAAAAGAATTGTGAGCATAGAATACTCTTTTAAAAATACTATAAAATATATTATTCCAAAGAAATGATGTGGTTGTCAGAGAAAAAGTGAAATGCAACTTTGTTATAACAATACAATTGTAGACACTAAAACAGTATTATATATTTTGAAATATTATATATTAGTATTTCAAAATCCTTAGAGAAGTGTGTTATCTCTTTTTGGCCTTTTGGTTAAGATCAAGTGTAGTGTAGTATTTTTATTTTTTCCTATTTGGAAGATATCTATGGTGTTAGGAAGTGCTGGGTACAGTTTAAACTCAGTCCAATTGGCACAAATAAACCGAGCTTTTACGATCTGCACTGAGAACATTTAAGCCAGAATTACATAAAGCTTAAATTCCTTGCATGGATGGTTTTTACAAATGAACATGTACTATGGATTCTAATCAAAAGGAGAAAATGTTTTTTCAATTTGTTCTTGGCATTTTGAATAATTCCAAAGGTTTTGATTTTCCAACATGAATATTGTATGGTACAATTAAGCTTTATGGTTAGAACTCTAATTTAAAAAAGAATGTTTTCTAGCTTACAAATAAATAAAATATAGTTTAAAAATAGTTTAATATATCTGAATCAACAGATGCTGTATGAAAGCATCTAGAATTATAAGTGTAATTCAAACATTCATCAAGAACACAGAATCATTATACCATAATGTAAGAGATGCTGAAAACATTTAAATACACATAATCTGATTTATAATGTCTCATTTCACACACATTGTAAATTCAGTTACAAAAAATAATTTAGCTAGATATACTAGTAAGTTTGTGTTTCATACCTGTGTATTTGAAAGCATTACAAATAGGCATACAATAAGCATAAAGTATTTAGAATGTATAGTTTTCTGTATGATAGTCTGCTACTATAGTCTGTCTTGATTGGATTGCAGATAAACTCAAGGGAAAACTCCTTGAAACTGGGCCAAATGTGCCTCTGTTATTCTTTGGTACATGGACTAAAAGTAGCTCTGGATTTTTAAAGCATTTTGTTTCTAAAAAAGGGTTATTTTATCTCTGCTCAGTTCATGAACTATGTGAAAAATATTAACCACAAGAAAAGCAAATTATTTATCAAAGAATTGTCACCAAATGGCCCTGTGCCGAAGCTTAATAATTTGTGCAATACTTGTCATCTTTGATGTATGGATACTAGCATTACATAGTAGACCTAGAAAATTACATATTTATAACTTGGTGAATGCAAAAAGCTCTACATTAATCACAATAATACATTCTGTTATATGAGCACAGACTGGAAAATACTGGCCAGTAATATAATGTAATTCTAAATGTATTATTTAATTTTGGGTGATACACTAGAATAATAAATTTTTTTATGTGATTTAAGAGGAGGGTTTGCTCTTTTATGTCTCCATTTTGGAAAGTGGGAGATACTCGAATTTCAGTGTGCTTTTTATTAGAGTAAGAATAATTTGAAGCTTATGTATTGGAGGTATTATTTATTTGTGTGCTAATACTTGAACAATGCTGAGCTGGAAAGAGTGAGCACTATTCTGTTCCTGCACCAACTACTGATAAAACAACTGAATAACAGCAACAAAGGCAACTCTTAATATGTCCAATTGTTTCTTTCAGTTCATGAAAGTGCATTTTTTTCTAAGCAGAGCTGGAGATCAGCTGTATACTTCTATGCAACATGCTCTCCGAAGCCATTTTAAATGTAAGTTCTTAGTCATACAACAACCTGCAAACGTTGCAGTGTAATGATAGCCTTGTTTTACTATTGTCTTGATGCATGCAAATGAAGAGTAAAATAATGTTATCAACTATTAATGATGCATAACTGTTAAAACTGTAATGGCAACTGTAAGGCCTCAAACAACATTTCCCTTTTCCCAACAATAAAGTCATCTGGGTTTAGTTATTTTGTGTTCAGTGGATTGTATGTTATGCTGAAATTTCTAGCACATAGCAAAACTACCACCTACACCTAAAACCTAAAATATAAGAATCTACACAGGTCATGTTCTGATTGAAAACAAACCAAAATACTGCAGTCACAGCTTTCAGCTAGCCTTTAAAAAGATGAAAGTCACTGCTCTGTAAGAGTGTATAAATGTGAATTTCAATTAAAGTCACCTCTGAAGAGGTAAACCAGCAAAGTGTACTGGTGGAGTATGATAAATAGGAATTTATAGAAAATATACTAAGTAAACAGTGGACAGGAGCAAAATCTCCACAGAAAAGCCTTTATATAATTTCAACATTATTAAAAAGCTCTCAAACTTTCCAAATGCTAATGTACCATCCCACCCAATGAACACAGAATGCTGCTCCTGAGAAACTCTGCAGTTTTACTCCTGGTTTTTCAGATGACAAAAATTTAAGGTCAGAATAGGCTGTTTTCCTTGGCTACCAAAGAGGGTACAGGAACAGCCAGTTCTTACAGCAGAATGGTAACAGGAGAGACTGACACTTTATATACTATCAGATCCAATTAAAAACTGAACTTTGGTAAGTACAGAGAGACAGGAGGAAGACTGAGCTCACATTTTACAGTGAAAGACTTATTAACAGGAAGTGAGAGGTGACTTATCTCTGTTGCCAAAAGGTAGGACAAATCCTTCCCTAGTAACAGTGCTAATTTAGGATTTGCCAGTGGAATCCAAATCTGAGGTTTGGTGCTTGGATGCTTATGTACCTTCCGAGAAAAATGACATAGATCCAAGTCCAAGATGTGATGTAAGCATATCAATACTCTTTTAGCAAACTTATTTTCAGCCAAATGTGAGCCAACAACTTCAACTCTGAAAAGCCACCACGGCAATTGCCTAATGCTAATACAAGTTGATGAAAATACTGTGCAAAAATTTGTTTAGAAGCATGAAGGCAGCAGCTGCAAAAGTGATGCAAAACTATGAAGGAATGGCTTCTCAAAATTCTTTTAAGTACTATACTAGGAAGATAGAGAGTAAATGATTTCTAATGAGGAGGGACATTAGGTAGGCTATGACATGCCACATAAGGCAAAGTTACAAGACAGCAAAAAAAAAAAAAAAGTCCATGCTGGTGTCTCAGGAAACAAATTAAAAGTGACTCCCAGGTTAAAATCAAAAGGTTGGTTTATCCTGTTGGATCTTTGCCCACAAACTGTCCCCCCCCTCAACCAATCCTGCTATTCCCATCCTCTCATCTCCCCTCCACAGCTGGGATACAAACTGTGCTTCCCTCACCCCAGCCACCAGCTGTCAAAAGCTACTGCCTCTCCTCAGCAACACTGAGCTGGTGTAGAGCTGATATAGCAGGGTCTGAAGGAGGCAGAGGGTCCAGGCAAAATTTATGCAGATATAGGGCAGCTCGTACCCCAAAGGAAGTGCAAAACCCCTTATTTTCCCTAGCTCCCGTGCAGTGAAAAAAACAGGGGAGAAGTTCTACTTCTTCTCTCTCTTTCTCTCTCTCATTCCTCTAAAATCAAAGCATGTGAGAGACTATCTCTTCCCCACTGGCCCCCTTTCTGAGAGATTTAATAATATTGTGACTTTAGTACTGTAATACAGTTATTAACAATGTTAAAAGATTCCCCTGGCATCAGTCACTGTGAAAGGATGCTGAGTCATTTCTGCAGAAGAACACCTTGAGGACACATTCCACCAACATCCTCCCTTTGGCAAGATTCAGTTTCTTATAAAGAGTGCTGCTAAGTGGCAGGAATACAATTGTCAGGAGAAACAAATAATTACTGAAGAAACAATGTAAGACCATGCTAAAACATTCTTGACATTTGTGAAAAGAAACATTCTGATGTTTCCATGTTTTAATTTATACATATGTTCAATTTTGTAAACTGGGCCTACTGGAGGCTAAAAAGCTTGAAAGAAAAGTGCCTTACTTGACTCAGAACCATTTCTCTAACCTTTTCTATATGACCAGAATCATCATGGTCCATGCTAGAAATTGCTTAGGTTCAGGAATGTACATTTCTGTAAAAATACATACCTTCTTTTTAACAACAGCCTTCATATAGCTGTTTTAAGCATGGTGCTATTTAGCAGTGTGGTCACTTAATAAATTATTTTCTCCTCTTGAAATTAAGCCACTCGTATTTTATGGTGTCCACCAGTTACTCAATCTTTCCACTAATTCTACAGGAAATAATTTTATAGGTTTTGTAAGAATCAGGTAGAACCTTTCATATTGTACCTTTCATAGAGGTACAATAGTTGAGTCTGTCAGCTTCAGTTCCAACAGGATTATTTGCTGCATGACTGATTGAGAAATACCTGACCTGAAGACCAACATGACTTTACAGCTTTCTGCCAAGCTGCATTATATTTTTTATGCTTTATTTTGCCCTTTATGTCCCTGACAATATGCATTTGCTGTTTCTGTGCTACCTCTGTATTTAGCTTATGTTACATGAGAAATGCATAGACATTAATTTGATAACGTTACCAAAACAGGAAGACTCTCTCTAATAAAATATTTAAAATACATCTATCAAAACAGTAGCTAGTAATGAAATGGGGTGGGTATGACATCCAATAAGCTCATCTTCCTACCTTGTGTTTTTTAAAGTTAGTAACAGCCTCTAAAAAGCACTGCTCCTTGGAAGAGAACAATATAAATAAAATTCCCACTAGATAAGAAGGCAAATTTGCATCTGTACACAGAGTATACTTATCTGCACAGCTTTTGTTGTTAAAATGTTGCTTGTTTAATGGTTTATATTTTCAAAGCTTTCTCTGCTTGAAGGATATTTTTTTGTCACTAACATTTAGATTCATGATTGAAGATTGCTGTTCTATTCTCATAGTGAAATTAATTCCATTTCTTCAAAGAAAGCTTTTGAAGTGGTTTTTTATGTATGATGGAAGTACAAATTGACAGCACAATGATCCTCTTCACTATTCTTACAATCAGCAGCTGTTAACCTATTTTTATCAACAACTTCATTGCTACAAGAAACACTTCTGCAAAATGTGAATGCAGCTGGTGAGATCATTCCACATGAGCCATCTTCTCCCTGGGAATTTTTACAAGCAAGTTCCACAAAAAACCTCACTTCAAGAAGTAACCAACTGCCAAGCTCCCCTTTGACAACACACCAGGCCTCCTTTACTTTCCACTCATGTTCCAGGTATACACAATGTCACTCAAGGCATAGATGAGCATCTCCCAGACACCTTTAAATCATCCCTCTGGGAACTTCTGCACCCTCTAAGGCCTTTGGTGTGCTCCAAAGTATGCTAGGATGCTTTGCTACTGCATATAGAACACAAGATAAAGGCTCAAAACTGATTTTCCCATATCAGACCCAATCTCAGGTGTCTTGGCTTTCAGATGCAGATAGAAATTAAAAAAACCAAGCCATTTTCTGACTGCAGAAAATACCTAGATCAATGACAATGTCAGACAGGAAAGGATGGAGTTTCCAAAGTGGAAGATGGTATGTGAAGCTCTACTGCCCTCTGAGTCTAGAAGCACAAGCAAGGATGACCCTGGCTCAGGCTTGCCACTCTGACTACTTGCATCCTTTAGACCAGTCCACAGTCAGGACCTGTTGTACATCAGGTAAGTTGTTCTCCTGTATTAATTTTGGACACAGTGCCAAATTATCCTCCCAGAAATACTAAGGAAGGACCAAAAAATACAGTGAAACACTGTTGCTTCCAGAGAAGAAGAGAACTGCTCAGATTGAGCACTGGAAGCCCTTGGTCTATGTAGGGAATACATCTCAGCCTGCCATTGATTTCATCCTGTCTATGTGATCTGCCTTCATTTGTTGTCTGAGGATTCTCTGCTCTAGGATCCCAACAGGGAACTTCAGAATTGGGTAGGTCCTCAACAGACAAACTGATATGGAATAATACAAATTTCTCATAGATACATGCATGTTTTATAGCTATGGTAGGCATACTATGGATGTGAAGGGCAAGAAAGCAGAATATCAAATTCACTCAACTATTTTCTAGTTCTCATACTGTGTGTTTTTGCTAGCTATTGGTTCTGTACAGAGCACCAAGAACAGTATACATGTATGTATGGACTCAATCCTCATGCAATGTACACATTTTAAATTACTTTTTAATCTAACACATCTACTGGGACCATCTCTGATACACCTACCAATAAACCCTGAAGAAGGAGGGTTGGGCTGTATCTTCTCTTTAGTATTCTCCTGAATGATGTCCCAGAGCTGCCATATAAACTTTGGATGGAGGATGTAGAATGGCTGGGTTGGATTCTTCCTGCGATGCTGTACGTAGGGAGTGAACAGATTGTAGTCTGGCTTCTTATACCACTGGGAGGAAAAAAGTCAGATGTTTTTTAATAGTATTAAATATGTTTTGAACACTTCATGTACAATAGCATAAACTGGCTTTATCTGGGTTCTGCAGAACAGAAACAAAGGTAGCAAAGCAGCCTGCACTGGTGGATCCTTCTGCTAGAAAAGCATTTGTCACTCTGAGCTATGCCGTTTTCTTCCTTCATACAGAGACTCCCAATAAGTAATTGACTGCTGTGGGATCAGCCAAGACCATTTTTCCCTCACAGATCCGCATTAAAGAAGAGGTTCAAAGAGCTTTGACATGATATCTGGGCCTGGGGGTGAATCTTCCTCTGAAAGCACCCCGGTCCCTGACGGAGGCAGCAGCAGTGCATGACGCAGGCTGATGGCAGCCTGCGTGGGAAGCAGGCAGCCTCTGGCATCTGTTGCTAAGGGAGTTCAGCAGATGAAGGCTTACTTTCTACTTTTTGCAGCCTGCTCAGCTCTGAGCTCCCTGTGCCAAAAGCCATCAGATCAACCTGCCTACTGGAGCTGCAGCAACAGCCAAAGTAAAGAGTCCCCCAGTGACAACCAGATGGACATCTGCTGCTCTCAGTGAGGGGGTGGATGGCAGGGCACAGATGGCTGTGGGACAGGGGACATGAAGGGAACACTGGTGGGGAGGACGCCTGAGAAATGGGGAAGGCACCCAGAGAGATTTTCACCAGGATTTTGTATTATCTTTGGGAAGGCAGAGGGAAAGGTGGGGGAAAATGGAAGCAGTTTTTCACCTTTCTTGATAAAAACCTACTTCTGAAATCTAGCAATGTTCCCTCCTTGGCAAGCACACAAGAAAACTCCCTGTTACGTGAAAACAGCAATGTTTTATCAAATGCCACCATTCATCTATCCTAGCATCTCAGAACAGTCCCTTCCAGTATAATTGCTGGCTACTAAAAGTTTTTGACCAATAAACCAATTTTGACTCAATTCCTACAGACATAGCATTCTCCACTCAGATCAAGACAGAACCTGGGGTTTGTGGTGAAAAGGGAGAATCAGGAGACTAAAGCAGTAAATCAATTTTCTCCAGTACTTTCAAATAATTGGGAAGAAAAGTCTAAGTGGATATCTTACCACATTGAGATTTGCAGAGTAGGGAGCAGGATCCCAGGCTACTAAGATAACATCTTTATACAAGGAGCTGTCAACAAAGTGATGGTTTGGATTGGTGAGAATCTGCAAACAGAGATGCAAAGAATTGCACAGCATTAAAAGCAAGTGGGATCCAGAAAAATGGCAAAATCCTACTCTCAAGTGAACAGTCCTACCCACGCTGCTGTTTGTTATACTTCAGTTGTGGTTGATTTTAAGCATCTTGTTTTGTAAAAAAAATATACAAAAAAAGCTTAGCCACCAAACTGCACTCATTGCAGTTTGAAGTAGCAGTATGCTGAATTACTCTCCATCTGTGAGGGATGTGATGGGACCACTTGAGATGCTGTGTAATTGTGTGACAACATTACCGTGTATTCTGGAACTTGAAAAGGAAAGCTACAGCATTTCAGATGGCCTGTGGGATCCTCTTGGACACAGCAGCTTGCTTTGAAGGGCTACAGCCCCTAAGGGCAAGGTCTTTCCCTGCCACCCATCCCCAACCACCTTTTCCATGGCTTTCTCATTTTAACAGCAAGTCAGTCTCATTTCAATCCAAAAAATGCAAATTAGACCATGACTGTACAAACTGGAATACCTATAAAAACAATTCCAACAACAGGCATTTTACAGGGCTATTTTTGAAGGAACTGCTCTCATACAACTCGATCCTGCATCTCCCAGTACTTTGCTTGATCATCCCACTGCACTGGAAATCTACTCTTTACTCCTGCTGGCTCACCCCTTCCAGGATCCTCCACATCTAACTACATCTCTTTGATTCCTAGTGCATCCAAGCACCAGGCAGCTCAGCAGTGGTCAAAACAGCATGAATTTTGTTCCAGCTGTTAAAATAATCAACATTCCAGACAAATAAATTCATAATAATTTTCATTTCCCTTTAGGATCCAATGAGCCATATTTAATTATGCATATTTTTCTTCAGAAAAATAATATTGTTGCCATAGCAATATGCTTCCTACCATAAACTTTGAGTTTAATGATTTCCATCAGCCTTCTACAGTAAGAACAGAATTAGTCATGCTGTTATCAGCATCCCCAACTTAATTTCTCAGAACGATTTTCACCTCAGAATGCAAACTCCTGTTTTTGAGTATACAGAGCAAATTGACCAAAAGGCCAAGATTTTAAAAGCTTGGTTCCACACTTACCACACAAAGGAGCTCTTACTTGTAAGAGCAAAAGTCCTCTGGAGGTGTTGTCACACAATTTTTGCTCTCAGTGAGTCTGCACACATATGTATGAGTTTTTTCTGCAATAACAGTATCTGTAGCCACTGCACAGGTTTCCTTCCTGTCCTTTGGGCTTTCACAATGGAGGATATGAAGAAAGAAGGGGCCACAGCAGGCTTTTATTTAAGTGAATGCAGGAGTGTCCAGCAGTGAGGAGGTAAATAACTGTGTAAATAACCCAGCTACAGTACAGGTAGGGAAAGCAACTTCCATCAAGTGGCCTGTGCAGATTTCACTCTCAGAGAAGTCAAGGTTAATTTCTCAGCAGGTGGACAGACTAGCATGGATGGCTTCTGACCACTCTGAAGGAGCACAGAGCTGGTGGGGAACACAAACACTTGTGAGGAAGCCATGTGAGCTGACCTGGCCAGAACTTTGCCATGCCTTCTGTTTTCTTGGGAGGTCTTATGAGGAGCAAGCCTTACACAGTGCAGAAGAGAAGACCACAGGACCCTCCATTACCATCCCAGTGGGAATGTACTGCAGCAGCACTGGGAGCCAGAAAAACCTAGTCTGCCCTGCATGGAGAACAGCTAATTTAACCATTAAATCTCTCTGAATTTGCTGGGGAGCTAAAAAAGCTCAAATTACTCCCTGAGAACATTTCTCTCTTCCACAGGGAGCCCACAGAGCCTAATAAACCATAAAGAGTTTCTAAACCTTTCTCCTTGCCCAGTTCAGGCATGGCCACTATCAGGACATTTTGGCTGATGGTAAAATGGAGAATCATCAAAGAAAAGGAAAAAAAAAACCAAAAACAACAAGACAAAAAAGTAAAATAAAATACATGAAAATCCATGTTTCCTGATACACTGATTATAGCACTTAAGGCAGAATAAGGTATTTCTGCTTTCTTTTCGTGAACAAAAGAAAGGAGGCACATTTAATCCAAATCACTTCAAAGTCTGTTCTGCGGCCTCACAAAGACCTACAAAATGAGTGTGAAGGGAATGGCAGTACACAGTCCTCTTTTTGATGGCAAAGAACATGTGCTTATACACATAAAAACACACACACCAAGAACAGGCTTTGCATAGGCAGACACTCAAAGCAGAAGAAAAGATTAACTCGAAAAAATTAACTCATAAAAATGTCAGTAACTGAAAATTTTGGTCTCCTTCAACAAGAATCAATATGCACAGAGCATGATACATGGTCAATCATATTCCTGGTGTTGATTAAGTAAACTCATTTCAATATGTCATAAAATTTCGCAGAAAATCTGTTGCTGACTTTTTGTCTGCATTTCTTAGAGAGGAAAGAGGTTTGGTTTGCCCAAGACAGGAATTCAGGCAATAGCATTTTTGAAACTGAAAAACTAATCTCAGCCATAAGGTGTCACTGTAGCTCAAGTCCCAGTGATTTATTTACACCCATACACAGAAAATCCCATTTTCTTTTGTTTCCATTCAGATGAACAAACTCACCTAATGTGTAATAGCCAGTACACACTGAAGTTTTTTACTAGTTCTTTCCAAATTTTTAAACAATGATGACTTGCCTAGTGTTACACAACTCAGTTTCCATTTCTTTTGCCCTCTAGCAAGGAAATAATTGGGGAACTGGAAAATATGAGAAAACAGGTTTGGAATCACCACTGAAGCCTGAACTTCGTGAAAATCCTGTAGGCAATGGCTTCTCCAGGAGGTCAAGGTCTGCTGTACTGACAGCTCTGATATCCTGCAGAGCCTTTACAGATGGGTTCACATGAGAAACTTTACAAACCAGTTCTCTGAAACAAGGCTATGGAGTCACTCTAACAGCAATGCAAACATGCCTGTAGGGGAAAACTCTCACCTTCTCTGCATCACGACTGTTGAATCACTGCCTGCTTCCCATATTACCCAACACTTTTTCAGAGGTTATTAACCTGCTGTCATATTGTGCAGAAGAGACATTGACTTGAACTCTGAAAAGGAAGATCTTACCTGAGAATTAATGATCCGCATGGTTGTTTTATTTCCAACATCTTTTTCATAGCCACGAGTAGGAGCAGAATTAAATCTTAAAACGGCATCATGAGCATCTAGGAGCATAAACAAGGGGGTAACTCATTTTTCTTAGTATACAGAACAGTAAAATAAAACCAGTCATCTAAACTAATACAAAACTTTTGCATCTGTCCTAATCTGGATATTCTAAGGATGATGAATGTTCTGCTATGCACAAACAAAAATCCTCTTGCGTCTGCCATATGTTATTAACATAAAAGCCCACTGGGACAAAAGTTCAGAATCATCTATTAATTTAGCATGCAATACTTGAATGCTTCCCTTAATTGGATAGACTTAGTGTGGGAAGACTATTAGTACACCCAATACACACAATTGCTCACTACTTCTATCACAAAATTTAGAGAATTACTCCATGCAAAAGCATGTAAACTGCAGGGATATCTAATTGCACATTTGAATGAACAACAATGCTTAACTATAAGCTTGTGTTTCACAGTATTTTTTACCTGAAAATCTCAGACTACCCCAAATCCATTAATCATACTGTGTACTTACTCTCAAGCTCAGTACAAATCTTAAAGAGCCTCTGTATGGAAGCCAGCCCACACATCTGCTCACACAAAGAAACCTCAGGATCCCTTGGTAGCAAAGATCTAACAGAGCTGAACTGTCAAAGTTACTCCACAAGCAGTTGACCTTGGAGTCATGGAGGAGAGAAAGCAACTGTAGGTCAAGTATGGGTCAAGGGTAGACACCACGTGCAAGCCTCCGTTGGATGAGAGATAATCACCCTCCCAGTGCTGCTTTTAAGGGGATCTCAAAGCCCAAAAGGTGCAAAGGTCCAAGACATTTTATCCACTGTCCAGAAACACACAGCCCCTGTTGGTAGCCCTGTACTTGGTCTGGTTTTATCTGTTCTAGCAATGGAAGCTGAGAATATGATTCAGCCCAAAATGGGCATCCAATACCTTAACCCACAGGGAGTTTGTACAGCTGTTCATCTCTAGTCACTAAAAATGTGTTGTCTGTAGCTCAAAAACTGGAGGAGGCAAAAGTCTCCAAAGATAACCAACATCCCTCAGTGGAGCCTTGGCTTGATCCTATCAAACTGGGATCTTTAATCTTTTCCCTCCTTTACTCTGCACTTCTTGTACTCCATACAGGGAAACACCGTGTGGCATGCAGCCAGCACTCCAATCTCACACATACATGTTAGCATTAATATGTCATGACTGAAATGAGGAGTTTTGCCAGATGCCCACAAAATCAAACTCCTTAGAACCTAAGGAGTGGAAGTTTTTTCTGTCCTCCTACCAAGCCCAACTCCTCAGAACCGAAGGAGTGGAAGTTGCAGGGAAAACCCTAGCCTCAACACCTAGACTCCATCTAACAAGCATCTTGATTGTGCAGGAACTAGAGGAAATTAATAGAAGCTTTTGACCTTCAATCACCTAAGGGATTGACAACTTTTAGACAATCTGTTGACTGAGAACTAGATTACGAAATGGAAATTGTATGGCTTGCAGCTTAATTGAGAGACAGTGTGATGCATTTCCAACATCACTCATGCTGATTCTTCATATACAGATGAAAAACTTCTCCTTTGCCAAAAATGTATGACCAGGACACAGCTTAACACTGGTTTAACACTACTGATAATAGCTGGTTTTAAATAAACTGATTTTAATCTTAGTACATATTGATGCTCATACAGATGAGCATTCTAAGGATCCAGAGAAGTCTGGAGTTTGATCATGGCTCCCTGTTTCTTCCTGTGATGCCAAAATAACTGGTTCTCTCAATTAATAGCATGGGAGTGCTTGCTATACTTGCACAATATTTCCATGCCTACTTTCATTTAAAAACAGTCAGGGGGGTGGGGGAGAGGAGGGCTAAAGGAAGAACACAAATAAACATTTTTGCTTGTGTTTCTAATAGGAACACAGAAGAGGGAGCCAAAGGCCCACGAAGGGAAATGTCCTTCGCTGCTTCTTTCATAGGCATTTTCTTTTCTCTTGGGAGAATAAACCATAGAATCACAGAATGGTTTGGGTAGGGAGGGACCTCAAAGGCCATCTAGTTCCAGCCACCCTGCCATGGGCAAGGACACCTTCCACCAGACCAGGTTGCTCAGAGCTCCATCCAGCCTGGCCTTGAACATTTCCAGGGATGGGGCATCCACAGCTTCTCTGAGCAACCTGCGCCAGTGCCTCACCACCCTCACAGGAAAGAATTTCTTCCTAACATCTAATCTAAATCTCCTCTCTTTTAGCTTAAAATTGCTCTCCCTTATCTACCATTGCTGTGAGAAGTCACTTGGCCCCCCACAAATCCTCTCCTCAGTCACAGGTATCTGCCCATGGCCTGAGAGACAGCTAGAAAAAACCTTTGATGATTCCTGGTACCCCAGTGCTTTCTTGCACAACATGTATGAGATCTGAAAATTCTATGTGGGCTTTTTCAAACCCCATCTTCCTCCCTTTAGGTGGCATCAGATGACATTTTCCCATTTAAATCCAAAGCTCTTCAAGGGAAAATATGGAAGCCTCTGGTACCAGAAGCTTCCTAAGAAAACAGGACGAAGCAGGCCCCAGGTACCATGTCAAGCACCCAAATCCAAACCTGGGCTGCACCTGAGTGTGCAAATATGACTTGAAGCATGCTGTAATATGTAATTATGTAAATACATCACAATGGAATTCACTTCAAAGTGAAGATTACAGATTCTACAGTACAGCATTAATCCATATGTAAACTGGTGTACTGAGGAACTGAGAGAAGATCTGATTTCAGTCAAAGATAATAACTGCTTTTTCACCCCACAGATTTCTAAATCAGTGACACTTCCTGCGAAATTGGGGTCACCCTGGTGTGATTTTAGCTGCACGCTGGCTGGGCATGTCTGCTGTGCTGGAAGCCTGTTGCAGAAGACCAATAATCCTAGCAGCTCCAACGTATCCCAGGGATTTAAGGGAAACCTATCTGTGTTCAAGAGATGATCCAGTGTGATGAAGAAAGTATTGGGATGTGAAGTCCTTGGAGGATTAATGAGAGAAAATCAGAAGGTTTTTACAGAGAGCTGAAGGAGGTAACTCTTCTTGTTGCAGAAACAAGTTTGAGACATACCTTTCATGCTTCTTTCAACACCCATAGCATACTGCACATGTACTACTAAAATAAAGAACTACTGAGATTAACACAAGTAGTAGCTCTCATTTTTGAAAAGAAAAAATAATACTGACCTAGATTTCCTTTATGGCCCCACCATCCTTTTCTGAATAGCTGCCACAAACCTCCCACCTCGAGGTGGGGGATTCTGAGTGACACTGACATCTCAGCACACCTGTAACCTCACTGACTCGGTGTTGCAATGGGAAAACAACGGGTGAACATACTCTATCTCATTTAAATTCAGTCTCAGAAAAGAGGCCAGGGGACTTGATCTCAGTGCATGAAGCTACTCAAGGGTCTGAACTCTATGCCTGTGAACTCTAAAGTGGCAAGAGATGTAGGCTGCTTCTTGATATTGAGACAAATGTCTGGGATAGCCATACAACAGCACCTTATCATGAGCAAAATAACACAGCTTTGCAGAAAAAAACTCTGAACATGGCTCTAATCTGCTGAAGAAATAAACGCATGTTGCACACAAACGCTGAATATGGCAGATCTGATGAAACCAGTGCCGCCTCCATACTACAAGCTGTAATATGATAAGAAGGCATCATTGTTTTCTTAAAATTAGATTATGACTTCAGGCCTGATTTTCCTTACAGTTATGTTGTTCTGAAAGGGAATAGCCTCACTGAAGTCCATTAGTTTATACTCATGCAACTCTAGTGAGAGAGAACAACCAGACTTTACAGATCTGTTCTTGAGAAGTATGAACCTTTTGAAATTTAAACATGAACACACATATATACATATATATACAGACATGAATAGATGCATTTTACCCACCTATTTCATCCCCTAAAGAGGAGTTCAGTATTGCACCAGCAGACATAACTACGGCACAGCTCCCAAAGCCATGTGTATATAATTTACCCAGTGGAATTTGGGGAACGTGCTTTTCCCATCCAAGAGTGGAGAAGGGAGCCTCCTTGCCATCTATTGTTTTCACATTCACTCTTTCTTTTAGCTCGCAGAATAGCTGGTCTCCTGTCAACTTGGAGTTTCGTTTCCCCTTGAACCGCACCCCATGCTTATTGGTACTCAAATAATCTTTCATCGCCTTCTGCAGTCGAGGGTTTAGCATCTTGGAAGAGACATCCCCTTTCCAAAGCTTGTAAAGAAAGGATTTCGACATTGTGGAATACAGCTCATCCCAGTCATCAGATTCATCCAGCATCTGGCCTCTCCTATGCTTTGTGCTCCTTCTCCTCATTCTTCTCTGATGGCTCCAGCTGTTCTGTAACATATTTCCTTTTGGATTATTCACATCAGCCGAAATGAATTTTTCTATCTCTTGAAGGTGGTTGTGTGACTGAGGCTGACCAGCAGCAAATAAATAATCATCATTCACTTGGTAGAAAGCACTTTTTGATTTTCTTCCTAACTGGGGTGGAAAAAACTCATCTTCATTTCTAAAGGCCTCTTCCAATACAGTCCATTTCTTAGAATTTCCAGTCCCTGACTTAAAAGTACCTAGGAGATCTTCATTAAGAAGCACCTCATTCCCATCAATGGTTTCAGAGAATGATGGGTCATGAATGGCTCCCATGATGACTCTCTGCTTGCCCTGAAGGGGCAGAAGTCTCTTAGTTTCAATGTAAGAAAAGGAACTTGGAACTGGTTCAGCAGTGTTGCTATCTGTAAAATAGATGAATATCACCAAGAAAAGCAGGCCCCATGCAAAGATACCAAAGAGCATGAGTTGTTTCCACTGCTTCAAGTTAGGTTTCATGGCAATGCCTTTACCAGCTCCTCTGTGCCTTGAAGTATTGGTGAAGGAAAATGAAACCTGTAAAGAACATCAAATGCTATTAAAAATCGTTCTAAAAATAAATGCAACTCAGAAGTATCTTAACACATATTGATAGACGATGCAGAATTAATCTCCAAGCAGTAGCACAAAGGATTCAGTAGCAGAAACAGAACTCCAGAGCCCGCAGACACTGTAGGAGTGACATGCTTTGGCTGTAACCACACCGTGACAGCTGCTAGCTACAAAAGAAGCTGGTGGCCAGTTTCTACAGTAACACTGGATCCTGCCTTCAGGGAGATCATGTGCCTGCCTGCTTCTGCTATACCGAGCGTAGCACTGAGACAGCAAAAGCAAAACCCATGCCTGGCTGCATGCACAGTGGGTACAATTTAAGCTGTCTTCTCTTTACCACTGAAGTCCTTACGCAGGGGAGCTGTGAGCAAGCCTGTCTCCAGAGGGACCAGGCAGGGAGCAGATGCTCTAAGATGCAGTCCCCCTCTGCCCACAGCCTGGAAAGGATGGTGCTCTACCCGTACTATCGGGGGTGAAGGGGAGAGCATCACACAAATGATCCAGAGGGGAACCTCTTCCTCAGCTGGTATGAACTGCCACAGACCCAGTGGCTACATAATTTGTTGCCCAATACCCGAATAAGGACAACTCCTGTACCTCTGCCACGGATTCTGCATGCACACTGAAGTGGCATGAAGGAGTTGTGCACATCAAGATGCCTGGGGTTTTGTGTTTTCCGAAAAGGAGAATGGGTGGCACAACTATCTAAATACATTCCTTAAGAGTAAGATAGAGATTTACATAAAGGGAGTGGGTAGCGAATGTCAGACCTAGTCCTGGAAATATGTGCCCTACTAATATCTGGGGGTTTTTGACAGCTTGTGCATTAGTGGAGGGATGCATGGTCCAAATGAAACAAAGTTTGACTGTGACTGGCTGTGTTCCAAGGAAAATACATAACACATTGCTAGACCATTGAGCACACTATGCCCTTACACGAACTCACTTGTTTAATCAAGTGGTGTGACTATCAGTTAGAAGGCTGACTGAAGCAAATCCCCACCATAAGCCTTACCATGCAGGTCCCTGCACCACAGCCATCATCGGCCTCGGCTGCTACACCGCAGTGTAACTCTGTGTACTAATTAGTGACAGATCACTCACCTGATCTGAATTCAAAATAAGCCAAGCCCCTTCTTCTGGAGTTTTATTTCTAAACCATTTGTTTCAGTGTTTTAATGGTGAGACTTAAGAGCCACTTGTACCAGCCAGCTGGATCAGTAAAGGGGAATGGGAGCAGGGGCAAGCTCAGATTTTATTACCAGCCCGCGCCTCAGGAGCCACCACCTCATCACATCACATCACATCCGAGCAGCACCACAGCTTAACACGCCTGTGATAACACACTGCCTGCTCACACCGGCCATCGGGAGGGACCAAAACCACAGTCACCACACGCTATCACCTTTCTGCAAGCTGCTAAAGTATATCAAAGCTGAGTGCAAAGTTTAAACCGAAGCTGTAACTAAGACTGTGTTTTCACACGAAAAAGAACCCAGCAGTAACACCAGTGTAAGACGTTCTCTTCTCTGTCCTTCATTCCTGCACTGTGCCTCTGCTGCTGCCAACACCCCCGTGTATGGAACTGATAGAGCAGGGGAAATACATGTTAAAGGTTTTTTTGGTTTTGTGGGATTTTTTTGGTTTTTGTTTTAAACTGGGTCAGCCCCTTTATCCACTTCGGTGTGGTCACACCTCCAGTTGTTTCAGCACAAATGGGGAAATCGCCTACCACAATGCAGAGGCGAGAACAAACCGCAGGTGGTATTAGCAGAGATACTTCAGGTTTCTGCTGACATCCTGAGAATGTGAGACCGCACTATTACATTTCCAAACACAGTCTCTTTTAATGATCTAGAAAAAGCCTAGAACATCAGGGAAAAACAGCTGACTGTGGGGCTCAAGGCAGTGTCCAAACAGAGGGAGGATTCATAAAGTTACGCTTGGATGACCAAATTTCATTGCAATTTCTAATACACGGAAAAGGTAAAAAAAATAAATCGTGACTGTGATAACCCAGTGCTCCACATACGTTTGGCTTGGCTCACACAAACCACATAGAAGAAAGCTATCACTCCAACTGACCTATTTCCTACTTGCACTCTGCTGCTGCAAGATTGCTCCCTGCAGTACCTCAACACTCCCACACCTTCCAATTTTAAATCACTGCAGGTGATGTCCTGTGGGAGTTGCCTTACACTATATGGCTGTTGTGCAAGTTAGGTCTGCCCTGAAGTTATTGCAACCTGCCCACTCATCAGTCGTCAGATGGTTTGCATTTTAAAATCAGCATTCTTCACCCGTCTGAACTGCTTTCATCTCTTTTTATCATTTTCCCTGATGTGTTTCCCCAGCACTTTTCAACATGTGGCTTCCAAACCACTGTGTAAGTTAGTCTTTGCTCAGTCAGATGTTTCTCCTGCTGAATATACATTTCTTACAGGATCTGCAATGGAAGCATCTCTCATGATCTTTTTAACAGATAAGCTTGCAGGAAGTCAAAGTCATAAAGGAAGAGGTCACTAATATTTTCCATGGAGTCACGTAGCAAGTCCAGACACAATTTAATCTATAACACAATCTTACAATTTGTTCATTCCTCCTCCCCCCACAAGTTTTGTTGTATCTTATAACCAGAAGCTGCTAAGAAATAGAAAGGTTTTGCCTTAATTCGGGAGTGACACTACAAATTTCTAATTGTCCGTGATCATATGTGTTTAGCACAGCAGACTGCCTCAGCACAAAAAGTCAAGACTGAACATTCAGGTTACAATCTGAAAAAGGACCGAGTTGCATTATTATTTTTTAATTAAAGCAAACAAAAATCTGCCCCCCAAGCCCTCCACAACACCTATGTCATGAAAGCAAACTCATCTTGGCAGCATGCACATATAAGCATGCATATGATTAGCTTCTTTGTGCAGCAAAAAATGCCCACGTAAAACAAAAAACAGCATCCAACAGTATATTTGTCAACACTACAAGCAAAAAGAGAGGCACCAGTGAGAATAAATCCAAAAACTTTACACATTAACTACTGCAAAAGCTTATCTGCAATTCCTCGTTGCAAGTGGGGCCTCAGAAAGGATACCCAAATCTCTTGGAAGACCGGCAAATCTCTGTGCTGCTTTAATGTTTTTTGCTCACAAGAAATGCCTTGTCCTCCAGCAGTACAGCTGAGCTGGAAGCAAATTCAAGGTCATTACTGTATTACTTGCAAGAGGACCTGTACAACCTCACAGGATCTTGAAGGCTGTGTGTCGAAAGCTGCACTAAGTTCAGAGAAATATCAGTTTATCTTATCTCCCTCTACACTAAACATCCAGTCCTCTCCCCCTCAGCCCTTGCTGCTTCTCAGACCTCACAGTCCCTGGCTTTGAAAATGTCTGGGAGGAGAGGGCAGTGGTTCCACATGCTCCCCACCACCCTCCTGCTGGCATCAGACCTCTCCACTGCTCAAAGGGGTGTCTTCCTCAGCACCATCAGGGGATTCACTTGGATTCCTGCCCTGAGCTGCCTTCAGCAGCACATCTCAATTACAAAGAGAAAAGCATTTGTGTAGGAAACCAGAAATGACGATTGCAACAAATTACACTGGCTAAATAAATAAAACCAGGCGGTTTCATGGGTGCAACTACTGAAGTCCACTGGATGCTTCAGGAATAAGCTTCCATCTCTTTTATCTATGCTCAACATATAGCTTTTAAACTGTTAAAGCAGTTCTACACAAGTTTTGAAATTATCATTATCATTTCTTATTGTCTCCAACTTCACCCCCCTGCTGTAACAATCCTCCCTACTTACAGACTGCCGGAGTCAAAGCTGCTGCAGAGGAGGAGCAGAGGAATAAGTCTACCCCTGGGGGAAACACCCGAGACTGAACCCAACGCAGCTTCCTCTTCAGCCGAAGTGATAAGCCTGTTTTGCCCCAGAGGCTGAAAACCTCATTTTCCTATGTATCTCCCTTCTGGTGGGCTCCTTCAATCATTAACTCATTTAAGGTCCAACTACCATACGGAGAATGGCTTTTCTCCTTTCCCAGTCTGGACATTCACACAAAAACCCTGGAAAACATGAGGCAAGGTACAAACCAGTGAAGTGGGCAGAAAGGGAAGACTTACTTATTTGCTTAATAGAAGTAGTAAGTAGTAGCAGCAGCTGTGAAAAAGAAAGGCAAACCCCAATGGCATCTTTGAGGCATCCCAGGAAATAAAGGCAATTCCCCAGTGGAAATTAAAGGCTGATTTTCCAGAAGCAGCACCCACTTGTGGGAAATTTCATCTTGCCACGCTAAGATGCAAGAAACCAAAGAGTTCCCCTCCTTTTATAAAGCCCATTGTTTTGCAACAAGGAGCACTTTTCATTTTTCTAAAGTAGGCCTCCTGACTATTTCTTAAATGAGAAGAGCTGGATAAGGGAGAATTTTTAATTCCTTTGAAACATTCCTTCCTTTCAACACTGTCTATTGTTAAAATTAATTTGTACAGACCCTGGCAGCTCAGAGGTCAGGATGGTTCAAGTTGATGTGCTAAGATGTGCACTGTTATGTTAAACAGGGTTTTTCCTGGCTGCAGCTTTGCAGGGAAGGTCACCACAGGGTTATTTGGGGTAGCAAATGTTAGCTGTGGGCAACCATTCCCAAAGGGCTGAGAATCAGACCAAGGTTTATTTGATGGAAAGAAAGCTTAGGCGGCCTGAACAGATAGCAAATGCTCTGTTAGTTTGCTTCATCTCTTAGTCAGCTAATTCCAGAGTATTAAGAAAGCTCTGGCACAGGGCAAGACAGCTGGAGGCTGCATTTCCAGGGTGGGGAATACACTCGTCTTCTCATGTGGAAAGTGCCAAATTGGTTTTAGTGTTATCACATCATTTCTGTGGTGGAAGCCATACAGTAGGCAGCAACAGACAGGCGAGCCTGTGGGGAGTGGTGACTGCCAAAAGATGTATATTAGTCTGTGGATGGCCTGTGCATT